ATGGAAAAGAGGTAAAAACAAGGAGGTAAAAAGTGTGTTTCTCCTATTAGTGGGAGAAGCTGGTCTGTTTATCCTATTCATCTGTCAATCTTCTCTTTCAAGACACCGTGTTACCTGCCACAGATTTTCTTTTGTTTGTCCTCATATACTCTTTCAGTCAGCATTATGCTCCTGTTTTATGTTTTTTTTTTATTCATTTGTGGCACTGACTTAGCTTTTTGTCTCTGACTAGGTTCGTTTAGTCTTTGTGATGGATCTCCTATAATTTGACTGTTATGTTGCACTTTTTTTTTATATCTCATTTATTTTAGTCAACAATCAATGTTGAATTGACTTAGCAAATTCTTTATATATAGCTTCTTCAGTTTCTATCATTTCTGATCACACATTTCCAGATAAATAAACACGACTTATAAATTGAGGAGTTTTTGGATTTTACGTTGTTTTTCATAAATAGAGAAAATGCTGATTTGATTTAGTAGCTTCGATTTTGTGAAGACATTTTTTAATTCTCGTTTTTAAATTTTAAAACGAGAGATAAACCTGTGGCGTGAGCAAATTTTGTTTAGACTGCAACAGAACAGCAAACAAAGCAAGCAGCAGCACCTATGGAGAATAAGAAATGCAATAAAGAGTTAGCACAGCCTTCGTTTTAAAATGAACTTATGTGATCATGTAAATGAGTGTTAGAATGTAGAAAATATAAATTTTACTAGCAGTGAAGTATTTCTGTGGGATTCTAGGATGAAAGTAACTTCAAGCACATAGTTTGCAAAGCAGGAAAACTTAACTGTCAAACTACTGTACAGAAAAAAATCACCAAGCATATATGGCATATTGTTTTCACTGAATTGTTGAGCACACCCAGGTGCAGACACACCTTACAGTTTGTGTCGCATGTGTGTGTTGCAGGTGTAAAGAAGTGTCATTATTCAGTAGTACTGTGTGAGAAGCACTGAGCATCTTTATAATGGCCATAATAAATAAAACCAATGCTTTCTGTTATGACAGGTGAACCAGTACTGCAAATACTGCAAACAGACATATTGTTGAACACCAAAAAAACATAGTTTAAGTACACCTACACTGGCTTATACAGGAAAAAGATAATAATATTACATAGTAAGTAAATCATTAATCATTAATATTTAATATGAAGGTTTAAGTCCTGGGACAACTGCTCAAGGTTTAAAGGCTAAGATAAGATCTGTGATTAGAAAACTAGTTCCCATACTTGCAGCTGCATGTTTCTACACGCTGTTTAAAGGTGAGCTCAACATTTTTCACAGGTCATTTAATATATGGAATATTTGTTAAAAAATAGTTATGTAAATTCTTTTGTGCCTCCATCTGAAGGCACATGAATCAGCATTGTTTGGATGTGCAGACTTTAGGTTTAAAAGAATTAAAAAATAATGAGCCCCATATGCTTCGTACAGACAAAAACTTGCACCCATCTGGTAGGTGGTTAAGTTGCACTGTAGGTAATTCTGGCCCCTGATTTTAAAACTGCACGACCGGGGTGTCGAACATGCAGCCCCGGGGGACCATATTCAACCCAATGGCTTTGCATGGTGAGAAAATTGCAATGAAGTCATTCACTACACTTTTCTTTTTTATCATAAGATGCAATCCCATTACTGCTGTGATAATGTGATGTTAGTATTACTACACAGAAGAAGTATTTTTAGATGTAGACATTTTGTTTCAGTAGGATTGATGTTTAGATTCAAAGGCTATGCATGATCAGTAAATGTAACATGTCTGTGAAAAGCATTAAACTTTACATAATTACTCCTTCCTCTCCTTCACTTATTAAAGTAAGAATAAATTAAGGTTTTTATTTAAGGGGTTTTTTTGCCTATGAAAGACACTCTATAAATAGTTACTATAGTTACTTTCTTACTTATTTACTCATACTACTTGTTATTTATGCAACTAACTGTGAATTGATGAATTTATGTTACTCTCTTTTTATTCTTATGCAATGTTCATATATGGACGATGCACTAGAGTGAAACAACAGAAAGAATGTGTTTAGGGTCATAGTGTTTGTTGCAAACTTCTTACAGAGAAGGAAGAAATGAAAGAAACTAGTTATGCAACATACAAAAATTACAAAATTGCCAAAATTTGAGTGAATGCATGATATGAATAATACAAAAAACCCAACATATTTATTACGTTTGAAATTTAAGAACAGCTATTTTGGAAATTGGTTGTGGAAATAATTCACAAGCTGTGGCCCACATTTTTTTTCAGATATGAAAATCATTAACGCTTCAGAGCCAAGGTTTATTTACTGCTTCCTGCTGCATGAACAATGTCTTCCTGAATGAAAGCCATGCTGGGATACCTTTGAGACCTCTAGATGAAACTCTAAACCATGTCTTGCATCCAGCCTTTAGAAATTTATGCCCATAGCAGAACTATGGCAATTATAAAGCAATTACAGTCTCATATTGCCTGTTCTTTTGAGATTGGAGAGAAAAGAGGAGGAGGTAAGAGCTCGGTAGTCAAAAAGAGTAAGTGTGCCAATATTGATGCTCCTTTTTCCTAACTGCTCAGTTGTCCACCTCTGCATGTGTTCCACTTGCCTGACCGCAGAAAACATCAAATTTTGACTTCACTGAAATGAGCATGAAAAGGACAAAAAGAAAAAAGATCAGCTACTCAGCTTCAACTGATGATACTTTTTTTTTTTTTTTTTTTTAAAAACAACCTTTTATTCTTGAGAGACCAAAAGCTTGGCTGAGTTTGTGCTCAAATGCACTTCGCTGGCGAGTGGCCCAACAGTTTTACCACAGTGAACCCTGGGAACAAGCATCTATTCTCTGCCAGACAATGACAGGGAGGAAGCTGTGTCTGTGTGTGACACTTGATCAGCCTGCTACGGTAACCACAGCTCCACACACATAAACACACACTTGGTCAGTTCCCGCTGCTTGATTGGCAGCACTCCAGAGACCCACACCTGCCTTAACTGCCTTTGCTTACTACTAGGCCATTTAACCAGATGGTGGGCTGATTTTATACAAATTGTATGTGTGTGCTTGAGTCCATTCTCATGAATGCATCGTCTGGCTGTATATGAAGAAAACCACCTGACTGTGTCTTTGATTTCCCAGCCACCTCCGGGTTTGAATACATTGGCAGCACAGCACATGGTTGCAATATGTTAGTCGCCCAGATCAGACTTCAGTCCTGCTAGATTGGAGGTCTTCATTTAGAGGTGCTGGTCTGGGAACAGCGCTCAGTTGCCATTTAATTTCTCTGCTTCTTTTCTGGGAGTGATAACATGCCCGGGGGCCGACGAGGAAAGGAAACTGATATATGTAGTTACGTCTGTAAGACACGGCATGCCAGTCTCCATGTCTCAAATTAGAGCAGCTGCATGAACTTGCTACATATAAGAGGAAAACATATTTAAGTGTTTAAGAAGCAGCATCTTAACAGACTTATGAGGATCAGTTGTGGGCAACAGAAACTTCCACACAAACGACCAGACAGATTAGACTTGAAGAAAACTTGAAGAATGAAGAAAATCCTCGTCAAGACGACTCCAAAAAAATCTCCAGAAACTCTTAACTGCATCTGCTCTGCTGGACCACATATTAATATCAGTCCTCAGTGGTCAACTTGTCTGAGGTTTGGATACAATTTATGGAGAACGAACTGTTTTGCATAAACATTTTGGAAATTTGCAGCAATTTTACTCTTCTGTATTGCTGCTGGCATTTTCCAGATGTGCAATGATTTAGATGTTTCCACATGTGCAGGTTTTCATTTTGTTGCATGAGATGGGATTTTTTTTCATCCTGTCAGACAGTGAAATGTGACTATAAATATTAAAAAAAAAAAAAAGATTGAAACATATGTGGCTCGAGGAATCCGCAAACTGTATGTTAAGGCTTTGCATTTTCAGCTCAAACACGTAATGTGTGAACCATCATTAAATCCAAAAAGAAAGTTCATTATGTATAATTATGTGTAATTAAAGTTGATGTTTTACTTAGACTTGTTTTGTTTTCAAAAAGATATTTTTTGCTTTTAAAGGTATGCTTTTATTTTGCCTTTCTTAGTCTATTGGCATAAGAATAAGCTGCCAACAATTGACATATATGTTTATCCATATATGTGTATATGTACATTCATATATGTTTATCCATATATGTGTATATGTACATTCATATATGTTTATCCTTTTAGTAAGTAAGAAAGTGTCCAAATTTTCCCTGACATGAAAAATGTCTCTCTTTCTCTGATTTGTATACGTATAATATGAATAGATTTGTGTTTGAAGCCGATAAGCAGTGAAAGACCAAAACTCTCAGAGTACCACAGACAAATAAAGACATAAACATAGAGAGCGATAGCGTCTCAATAAATACCATTAAATGCACAGATTATCATTTGTCATATCCTATTTTTAATTACATTTTTCTCATTAATTAATTAAATTACCGGTACACTATTTTCCTTTGCTGTTCGTTTTTTCCTAATTTCATTTATTTATTTATTTTGGATTTTCACAGTTTTGGTCTTTGATATTAGCCAACCAAATTTACAATATCCGTTTTAAGTTTGTTTCCACCACTGAAAAATAAGCAGCCAAATCTCAAAATAAGTCAGAAATTCTTGAAAGTTTGACTTATGAATATTTATTTTTGTTTAATTTAGTGGCAGAAACAAGCTGCCACAGATATAGCACTGACCTCTGAGTGAGTATATATATATATATATATATATGTGTGTGTGTGTGTGTGTGTGTGTGGAGAAAGAGGGAGAGAGAGAGAATTCGACTGAATAAAGAAATGCACAAAATAATTTTTTTGACTAAGTACATATGATCTTTCAAATATATAATATCATTAATGTGTGCAGTACAATTCTCCTCTATAGTTGTAATGACTGTGTTTTTCTTACCTATGTCCTACATGCCATGTGTTCTACGGTCAACTCGCGAGATCATCTGGCTCGCGGTGCTTTGGTTTGGCACGTGTGCTTTTTTTTTTAAGTGCGGCTCTCAGCTGCCGAGGCGGATGATGATGATGGCGGAGCTGGTTCAGGGACAGGCCTCGGTGGCTCAGCCCGGAACGAAAGATGACTTCGCAGACACGATACGCCGGGTCCGACAGGTAAAATGCTCTTCAGCGAACACGGGAGAGACGCTTTCGCACCGCAGACAACGTGTTTGCGGGCGGAGCAGACCGAGACTTTGGTTGGGGCATCCCAGATCCTAAACTATAAACACCCCTTTTGCACACTGCGAGCTGGCAAGCTAACATTAAATAGCCGAGACGGCATAGCTGAGCGGACAGATTAGAGTTTATAGAGAGCAGAAAACGCTTTTATTCAGCGTCAACGCGGTGAAAACGACCCATAAAGACACGTTTGTCACAAGACACGACGGCTTATTGAGGTGTCGAAGTTTGTGCTACTTTAGGAAGTTAAGTGAGTCCACTGCAACCTGTTGTCAACTCTCAGAAGTTGCAGTTAGCTTGGCTTGCTAGCTGACTAACACAAGTTGAATACCCTGCAGCTCGACACCACGTGACTGAAGCTAACATTTAGTCAAGACTTGAAGCCCAATACGGCTAAACTCTCTCTACGGGCTAACTTGTTAGATTACAATGTTAAGTTAGCTTCAGTGAGACAGCTTTAAAGAGGCATCATCAAAGATTAGTGAGTAACTGAATGCATCACCAACGATTAAACTACCTCGTTTGTTACGCTTGTAATTTATTAACTCTTCCTTGTGAAACGTGTGGCGTGTGTTGGACATAAAAACACAAGCGAGCAAGTTACTACAGCTCGTGTTAGCTAGCTAGCGTTTGTGGTAGTGTGTCCTCGCACGCAGCGTTGGAGTTAGGCCATGTAACGTAACGTCATCTGTTGAAATAAGCCCCCCTCCACTACTCCTGTTATGTACACTGGATTTTTCCACTGCTCCTTGAAAAATAATAATTAAAATAAAATGCAGTTTCGTCAGAGATGCTGTCCGGTGTCTTTTTGTGACCGTTGCAGACATGGTCACTGGAGCAAGCTATCAATAAGTTGATCACATGGAGCTCGCTCTTTGCTGCAGGCTTAACTAAAAACACTTATCGTGTGCAAACTGGACTTTACTCTATAGCTACTACTGTGCCCCCCTCCAACCCCCGTGAATTATAAACCCCACCTGAATATCTTACCCACTAAAGTTGTGTACTCAAATACTTCCACAGCAGCCCAATGCATTTTTTTTCTCAAAATATACTAATATAGGTTAATTTAATCTAGTTTGGAGCTGACATGAGCAAAAACATACTGAATGTATTTCACTGTCTCAGAGTATGATTGTTTTCACATTATAACCAGTTCTTTTGGGGGGGGGGCTATGCACACACAATTTAAGGTATACAAACTTTGTTGGCTTTCCTATTAGAATTTTGCATTATCCTTTACATTTATAAAAAAAATTAAAAGTACTTTAAGCTTGAGTACATGTAGACACCACAAACAACACAAATCAGATGAACCTGGATTACCCCTTTTTAAAGCTGCATAGACACCGAAACCTATTCACTTGTCGCACATTGCTTTGAAGCTGATGGCTGGTCAGTTGTAGACATTCCAGGCTCTGGTGCCTAGGTGACCCACTACCAGGTCATACGTCAGTCGGTTGCTTCAGTTACTCATCTGGAAGTTGAGAATTGTTGATCTCAGGTCGCGCCCATTCCCCCCTTGCCCGCAGTTATTTTGCCCATAGTTGCTTCATCAAATCAAAAATGTCATTCACATTCTATAGTCTCTGGTCACCACATCACTGCAAATCGCTTCCAGTGTGTACATAACTAAAGTTTGACTAGAAGTTGACTAGAGCACTACGAAGTGCTTTTGGGGAGACGTTAATGTGACGGAACAGCAGCAGAAACTAAAACTAAATACGCTTAAAGAAACAGGATTTATTGGTGTTGTGGGGAAAAAAGATGCAAAGTAATGTGCATTTTGATTGCATGATTTTTATAATGCTGTTAGTACGACTCTGCTGTTAGTACGACTGTGCTGTAGGGCTGCACGATATTAGGAAAACCTGCGATGTGCAATTGTCTCCCCCGAAAAAATTTCTGTTGTGAAGGTTTTCCTTGTATTTCCATTGTTTATTCAACTTTTGTTGCCTGTGGACTTGGGCTTGCATGTGGCCAGTCAACCAGGGTTGTTGCGTAGTCAACATTAACAATACTACTTGGTTAAATGTACTATTGTTACTCGTACACCTTTGAGTGGCTTTGTAGCGCAGTGGTCTGAACAGTCATCTCACAAGTGAGAAATCCTTGTGCTGATCCCAAGGTTTTGTCTCTGGAAGGGCAATATAAAAACAAAGAGAAAATCTGACAGATGAAACGTATGGAGCTAGCCACCGTGGAGCCCTCTTGTAAAAAGCAAGTAGCTAAAAGTAGCTTTTAGTATGTCCACATGCTGGTATATTGCTTTGCCAATTCATTCTGTTGGCTGTGAAAATACAATTAAAATGCTTCTATAAGGTGTTATAGATGCATGCATACAAGTAATGGGCCATTTTAGACCTTTGCTAAGTGGGTTATCAGCAACAGGGCAATGTTATATCATGTATAATTTAGCTTTTGTGGATAGAAAAGAAATGTTGTCCTGAAACTAAAACAATAGGATCATTTCCTTAAGGTGGTGTAGATGCATAAAGGATTAAAAAATGGGTATTTTTTTTATCCGGTTGCTACATCGTTGCTCGGCAACTTTATGGCATCTTAAGCCTAGATTATACTCTGTTGCAGACATGGACAGCTAGGGACCCGATGGCAGAATAATCATTCCCGTTATACTTTGACATACACTTAAACTCCGCCTCCTGGGGAGCCTGCGTAGTTGGTGCATTGTAATGTAAATTCTCTGCGTGCGAGTTCACACGGGCAAAAGAAACTGGCTGGCACACGGACATCTACAGGGGCCCTCGCGCTAACAGTACATTGATGAAATTTACATCACTAGTTGACTTGCGGACATGTAAAGTATAATTCCTGCTAGGACTGTTCAATATAATGATAAATATTGGATGACGATATGAAAACGTCTTTTCATTTTACGCTATCGTTTGTTTCGTGGCGTCGCAAAATATTTTTTCATTGTTTTGATGGTCACTGTAGAATTTCTTAAAGTTCTCTCTTTATCTTATATTTAATATAACAGAGTGTTTATGGATGAGCTGCTAAAAAGAGCCGTCAAGTGCTAAAAAATAGACCTTAGAACACGCCATGTAATAAATACTCACAAGGAAAATTGCGGCCGTTTTTACTTATGTAACACTCAACTCCAGGTACACGACGCCCATGCACACATTAACACTTCACTCAAGTCGAGTTGCCGAAGATTCACAGAATTTACAGAAAATGTAAAATTTTTGTGATATATATCGTTGTCAGGACTAGAGCAGGGTGATATGACCAAAAATATCTATCACGATATACATTTGAAAATTTGCGATAACAATATAACTGACGATATAATTAACACTAGACAAAATACTTTACAACTCCTCAACTTTATTAGTGCAAAAAAAACCCCCATCAATGTATTTTGCTCTTACACAAGCAGCTTTTTAAGTGCATTAAAATTTTATAAAAAATTTGCAGTGCAAATGCAAGTCCTTGCTGATAGTTTAACCAAAAGGCATTTCCAGTGGAAATTGGCTGACATATCCTCAGCATAACCATGTATAATATCCACAAAACCTAAAAAGAGGTTATACACACACAATACGGTAATATTATGTTGAAGCAGAGTACGTATCACTCCGCGAAGCTCCTGACTACGGTAGCTATAATGCTACGACAATCCATCAAGCGGTGCAGCTTCATAGCTTAGCAAAGTTGTACTAAAACATTTGTCAGAGTTTTGAGCGCCGTGTACGACATAAAATCGTTTCGAGGTCAGTAAACGCAACCAGAACTCATACATAAGGCACACGGGATTATAAGGGGCACTGTCGATTTTCAGAAAAATCAAAGGATTGATTTTAAGTGTGCCGTATTTACCAAAAAACATGGTAATAACGACGGCCCGCTAGCATGCGCTACCAAAAATAGTGCTTTGTTGTGTATCTGACGGACGAAAGCTAAACCAGTTCCACACCACTGAAGCTCCAGCATTTTTACAAACCACTTCTGGTTCATCCGTTTCATTTAACGATCCACTTTCGCTCTTCTCATTCTGCGTCGCAGCCATGTCCGTATGTAAACAAAGGCACTGCGCATGCGCGTTTTACACATATTCTATCGCGATATTTCATTTTCTTATCGTTGCCCAACATTACACCTGTATTACCGTGAACGGTATAATATGGCCCAGCCCTAGTCAGGACGATAAATGTCTTATATCGGGAGATGAGATTTTGGTCATATCACGCAGCCCTAATTCCTGCTTTCGTATATTATTCATAATTGAATTTTTGTGAATATGAAAATGTTCATAAAATGTCATAAAAGAAATTATGTAATTTTATTTATTTTAAATGAAAGGTGTTACAGGTATACGAATGGAAAAACATAGGCCATTTTAGTTTATTGCCAGGTGGTTGCTAGGATAAGATAATCTGTAAATAAAAAACCTTCAGCTTAAGACATACCTGTATCAAGCGTAGTTGCTCAACACCAAGCTTGGCACAGTTAGTCACTGGCACACAAAGAAACAGAGATTTCTTGTACCATAGTAAGATTCCTTTAATGTACAACAAGAGTTACCGGTTTGAAAATGTTACAACACCACCAGCAATGCAGCCAATGTCCCTCTAGGTTTCTGTGAACGAAAGTTGCAAATAACCCAGTGGAACTGAGTAAAATGTTGAAAACTGTGCGTAACTGCACCAGTTAGCACTATTTTGATGTTTTGGTGTTTGTTTTAAAGGTGGATGTATGGCACCAGTTTCTCAATATACTGGAATATAACCAAGCAACTAAGGCCATGTGCTGAGCTACACTAATCTGATCCTCTGTTTGCTACAATGTACATGCCACAAAGTAAACTATATTTCAGGCACATTTAAAACACTTAAGTTTCACAAAGCTCCTCAAAAATACAGGGAATATTTAACTATTAGCATAGGACCACTATTTTGAAACCACAGACTAATTTATTGCCATCTTTCTGTTAGAATCCAGAAGTAGACCGTGTACATGTAGCTTAACAGATATGAAAGAAAAGATTTGACTGTGTGATTAATTGCAGAGAGCCATAAACAGTTGAATGAAGCACCAATAATCTGTTCGTCTCTGCCACATTTTGTTTGTGGCTGGTCCTAAATTGCAGATTTGACTCGCTACACTAGTTCCCTTAAGTGGCACCACATACTCGACAGAAAAGAGAAGTCATCCCATCGTTTTCTGTTTTGTTTTGTTTTTTTGTGCATCATGTGACATTGATGTGGCATTAGTGTTGTACGGTTTGTTTTGTTTTTTCTTACTCTATTGTGTCGTTTAAGTTCCCTCTGATGCAGCTAAAGCTAGTACCGGTTTGTCCCTGCTTGGGAGCAGCTGCTGAAAGTGACTGACATTTAAATCTTGGAGCCAAAATGGCTCAGCAGTACATTTCCTACTTTCTGCTTTTATTAAATGGTCTTGAGCCATAACAACAACAAGTCACATTAAATTGCTAGTCTAATTCACCTCTGCAATAAGCCCCCTATTTCCCATTATCTCAGTGTTGTTAAGCCATTTTAATCCCTAAATAAGTATTTGACATTTAACACACTTGTTTTTTATTAAAGTATGAAACCTGACTGACAGAAGCAGTTTTTCTTGTTTTGCATAGCTGCTCTGCAAAGGTTGCATTCAAGAAGTGAAACCCGGAGGACAGGCCAGGCTGCAGTGCTGTTTGCCTTGTGGCCTCACTGGACACAGAAGGCTTTCTGCTGATGAATATGAAGTGTGTACCGTTCAGTGAGCCACCATCCATGAGATGGCATGCCTGTCAACCTCTTGCATCATAGATGTAGATTTCTACATTTGTTCAATGTCAGGGAGTCCAAAAGTCAGAAAGGGGGGGCAAATGATAAATTAATCTACACCTCTGCCCACAGTTAAATCTTTTTTCCCCTAACATTATTTAACTTGCACTAGTTTGCTCTCCCACTGACCCACAGCTGCAGGTTAACGGGTGGTGGTGGTGGTGGTGGTGGGTCAGGCAGTACAGAACAGCAGGGGAACAGTAGCTTAACTGAGAGTATCCGCAGTGTTGAGAACAAATTCATATAGACTGATGTGGACAAGATGATAATCTTGAAGCTTTTCTACTTTTACGATAAGGTTTGAGTCAGCTCCTGTATAAATGCAGCATGTAGCAATTGCTGGTGTTTAAATTGCCTTAATTTTTGCTGGATAAATATTAAATTTTTTGAATTATGTAGTTATTTAGCAGTTTGCTAGTACCGCTATGATGATGGCACAAGGACTGGGCGATATATCGAGTTTTTAAATATATTGATATATTTTTATACGAGATGAGAGATGTGACGATATCGTTTATATCGATATAGTCTATGTTACATTATAATTATACTTGTGGAGCCGCACGTTTGCCTCTTTTGTCTACGCTGCGTTACTCTGCCTCGCCTCTCTCCTTCACTGAGCACAACTCCCCCTCCCCCATCGCTTCACCTGCAGGTAACAACAAGATGGACACGGCAGCTATCAAAGAGGAGCTGGTCGGTAAAAAGAAAACATTTGGAGATTACTATTTTAGTGCTGCAGCGTTAACGTTATTAAAATGACGTTAATGCCATAACTGTATTAACACGGCAAATCTCCGTTAACGAGTTGCCGCGGATCGCCCCGTGTGCCGGGCTGCATGGTGTCAACGTGTTAGCGTTAGCGGTTACCTCGTTAATGTGTTGACGCCGTGCAGCTAGCACTACTAGTATTTTCACCATTTACAGCGCCATAAAGTGAAAAATGAAGAGTGTGTGAAACTGCGTGCTGTATCCCAGACCGCGAAGTCTCCTAGTCTCCTGCCCTGAAACAAACTACCTTACAAAACTCGTATACCGTATTTTTCGGACTATAACCTTAGACTAAAATCCTTTCATTTTCTCAAAAATCGACAGTGTGCCTTATGTGTGAGTTTAGGGCTGTGCGATATGACCAAAATCTCATATCCCGATATAAGAATTATATCGTCCGATAACGATATAAATCACAAAAGTGTAACTTTTTCTGTAAATTCTGTGAATCTCGGGCAGCTCGACTTGCGGGAAGTGTTTCCAGCTGCGCGTCGTGTAGCTGGAGTCGAGTGTTTTAACCGATGCATGAAACTATACATTTTTAGACTTAAGTTGTAAAGGCCGCCGTTTTCTTTGTATTTATTACACAGCGTGTAAGCCTGTTCATCACCCCGTTCTCTGGAGCAAAAAGTGAGTGTTGAGTGCCTGATTGGGAAATTGTAGTTCAATGGTGGAGTTCTGTGGACAGCTTCAGACTGCTCATCAACCTGCAGAGAGCGTCTGATGTCAGAAAGGGGCAGTGTCAAAAATATGTGGTACGACCGATGTGTGGTACACTCTTGGTTATAGGTTTTGCATGGCTCCTGTTCCTGGTAACTCCGCTGTCACTCCCTTCCCTATTTTGGCCCACTTATCAACCAGTTAGCAGTCTTCCACATGGGACATCATTGCAGCTGGGATGCTTCTACACAAGGGAAGAATTTCTGCTTTTATTTGAAACTACATTTAGGTTAATGAAGATCTCTGCTTTGTCTCGTTTACTTTTAAAATGATTTCTCACAGTGAAAGTTACTAAAATACAAAGTTAGGACTTTGTAGAGATGGTTTTCGAAAAGCTCAGCCTCTCTCCATGCGGGGAAAAAAAATCAGCTGAGACGAAAAGATGTGCATTTCGCATTTCTTCTTAATACAGAAATGTGTTTTTTGTGTTGTTACACATGTACTTAAATGCCACATCACCATGGAAAAAAACAACCCCACACCTGCTTCCCTTTATGCCTCCTTATTTCCATTGCAGGCCTCTCACTTCATGAAGTGGATAATTGTCCCTGAAGGTGATGGGAAACTCTAATTTCCATCACTATATTTTCATATCGGGGAAGAAATTCCAGTCAGGCGCATATGGCAATTCAGTGTAATTTCCTGTAATCCAATACTTTTGTATGGAAGGAGAGGTTGCAGATATAATGGGGGGAATGGAAGATGCAGCCGGTGCTCACAAGAAGATTTAAATGTCGATCATTGCAAGCATCTAATTTAGGCAAGTGGCTGATTTGGAAATGGCTTTAAATCAGTTTTTAGTTGAGCTTTAAAGCAAATAGCTGCACTCTACTTGTACTTTAAAGATGGGCTCGAACACTTTCCATCACTACAAGAAAACTGGGTAGTGAAACAAATGTTGTGTTGCTAACGTGGAGTGCTGAGCCTTACAGCTTGTTTGGTAATTTAAAAACAAGTGCTGGTTGAAGCTGAGCGTATTGTTTCGTTATGTTTTTTTTTGGGGGGGGGTTAGATATTCTGTGCTATATTTATTTGCCAGATTTCCCTGAATTATATTATAATTTAAAGAAACTGAAAAAATAAAGAAAAGTTGAATGTGCAACTGTTTGGTGCAAGTTGCATGATTTGTGTGTGGGGGATATTGTGGTGTCCGTTAACAGTTTTCCCCAACAGCCTTTCAATTTTGGAGATCAGTAGCAAACTAAAGTCCTGTGCACAACCAATGACTGCTTTGTACTTTCTTCTATCTGTTGTAGCTGTTTACTGTCACCAGGAGGCAGTGTCACAAACACCTGGTCAATGGCTTGTCAATGCTGTATCATTTTTGATCTTTGGGTTTTTTGGAAGTGCATCTGGACCAGCAGCTGACCAAAATTGCCTGACATTTATGCTGGCTGTCAGGCCGCTGGTTAAGCCGAACCCTGCGTTGTATATAATTGCAGTGAAATTGTGTTGCTGTTTGCTTTTTGGTTTAGTCACTGTGTGTTATACATTAAGTCCTTTAATTAATTGCTAGCCGGCCCTTTGAAAGAGATTCAGTTTTCGCTCCAAGGACCTGGGAGTCTTTGTCGGTGTTTTAGGTAGCTGTTGTGACATATCTTGTCAGTTGTGATATTGCAATGTACTCTGATCTTTATGATTTATTGATGAAAGCTTGAAAACTTGAGCCAGTGAGAACCAGAATGTGACAGATGTTTCCAGGAAAGCATCACCATCGATCAGTCGTTTGAATATATATATATACTGTCACAGATTGCAGCTGTCAAATAGGTCTCTCTAGGGTGTTATCTAACTTTGCTCCAGAGCTGATGCTTTAAATCAAGCAAGAAGGAAAGACGAGGTGTCACTTATAAAAGGTTGCCCAAGATTATGTGTTGGAAAAGAAGTGTATGTTGAAAGGGTATCATCATGTATCTGCTGTTTTGTCCGCAGATGACAGCCAAGATGGGAGGAGACCAGATGCCCAATATGAACAGTTCATCTCCAGTCTTGGACCCCTCCATGTATGGCTTTGGAGGCCAGAAACGTTCACTAGACAATGGAGGTGAGTCTTCAGGATATATACGCGCACACGCCGCATATTTTATAACATACGTGCTCACTGGCCCCTTTGTTAGGTACACTTTGGAACCACTTTTGACTTCAGAACTGCCACAATCCATCATGGCGGAGATTCAACGTTACTGAAAACATTCCTCAGAGATTTTGATACTGACATGATGGCCACTCACAGCTGCTGCAGATTTGTCATCTGCACATCCATGAACTAACACCACATCTAAAAGGTGCTCTGCAATCTGGTAGCTGAAGAAGTAGTGAACTGAAGAAACAATCACTTTATTTGGAGAAAAATAAAACAAAAAATGCAAGAATAGCCCAGACGTCCCAGTTTTACACTAGCACATGAACGCAGCTTACATTTGTGGATCTATGCAATGCTGGAAGTGTAAAATTACTTTTTAAAACCCCACATGGGCATATGACATCTGTGTCTATCAGGCAATTCATGCGCACACATTTAAGGTTTTGTAAGTGAGGGAGTGTATTTTTAAACCTTTGTATTCAGACAAAGCTTTTTAAAAGGAGAATTTGTCTAATTTGTGAAGCCGAACTTTATAAATTGTGCGTAATGATCAGTATTTATTCCGGTGTGGATTGAAGCATGTGCTTGCCAGTCCTCAAAAGTTGCCGCATCACTGCACACATTAGTAAATCTTAATTTATGCCTTCCTTTGGAGGCCCATTTGCATCTAGGTGCATTTGAACATGTGTACCTACCAAAATGGCCAGCGAGTGTATAGTTCATATGTTGGCAGCATAAAATTCACAGATATGTTTTCTGGTTCTGCAGCTTCTCTTGCATAATGTTTACACGGGCATTCTGCTGCATGAAAACAAGATGCGTTTATCACTATTGGAGAGCGATTTTCAAAATCTGGGATATAGAGCCGCAGCAGGCGTGTGGTTGATAACCAAAGGAAAGCATGCAGTGAAATTAAACTGATGTAGGGAAGTTTGTTTTGGGTGTTGTCCCTTTTCCTCACTGAACTTGATCTTTGTTTTATTTGCTCTGTTTTATTATTAATGATTAATAAAAAATGGGTGACATGACGCATGGCTCTTTGCCTTTTTAGCTTGCATGGGTTTGTGCAACTCTGTTTCATACTGGGCTCCACAGAGTTTAGCCAACAAACATCATTATCCAATCAGAAGGAGAAAATGAGGCATCGCCTTTTGGCGTTACTTTTCAACAAAAAGCTGTGGCAGCAGTTGCTAGAAGCAGTTAATCACTGCTTATAACAGTTCAAGTGCACTGGTGGCCAAATGTTTGCAGCACATGCCATGCCTTGTGCTTGTGATTATTATTTTTTTCCATCTCTTGCTTAAGATGGAGGGAAAACAACATTTCTTGAGTTATTTGGTGATTGGATAACTTGTACAATTTGCATCAGTAATCGTGATCCTTTTTCAGGGTTTGGCACAGAAGAAATACATTTTTGTTTTTACTCTTGCCTCTAGAGCTCTGGCTAATTGACAGTTTTTCCACAAAATGTACAGTGAAAGCATCATGAAACCTGCTCTGTTATAAATAAACAGACGTGTGGACAGCAAATTGGAGATCTCAAACCAGACTACGCTAAAGCTTTGAGACATTTTCATGTAAAAGCAGCTGAATTCGGTCATTAAATAAGGAGTTATTAATTTGAATTGTAATAAATGGCTTTTCTTTCTAAACTCTTTCTGAGTGACTCTCATTCAGTCACTTTTCAGTATTCACGGTTCTGTGTAGAAGTTGCCAAACTGTCTGTGTACATTTCATCTGTGTAGGAGGAACTGTTGTAATCTGAAGTGTTTTTGTGTCTGCTTGGGCCTGACACTGCAGTGTCGTGATTTTATTTTATTTATTTTTAACTACAACAACAAAACATTGCATTTTTCTATGCCTTGCACACAAAACAAAGATTTGATGTCTTTCATATCCCCGAAGTGGAAACGCGAGACATTTATCCTGTCGTCTTATCTCCTCACAGTTGTTTGTATGATAGTTCCACCCTGAATGGACGGATAAGAAAATTGTATGCAATTCTAGTTGAGGTTTATTTGCTACTGTCATTGTTTGGATCGCTGTGTGCTCAGCTTTTTCTCAGTCAAGGTTTTTCTTGCAGTCTGGAGGGGAAATAACAGAAATTGTATCTGTGTATCACTGCAGTTAATTATCAAACAAGTACACAGGCACTCGAGGCATTCAGACTTGATCATCCAGTCTTGTCCTCGTACGAGTGAGACACACACCTTCCTCGTTTATATTCATAGCGGTCCCATTCTTAAGCGTTAACCCCAGTGCTTTTCCAGAAGAAGTGAAATCAGTGCAAACAGCCATAAAATTGATTGAACCCACGAGATATCAACTCAGGTGTTCACGTCCATGGCAGCACATCCTCCAGTGACCCTGCAGGACCCTTGCTTGGTGCTACCTGTCAAAATTCAATTCAGGACCAGCAGTCGCTGACCCGGCTGCTGCCTCTCTCTTTCTGAGCGGCTCTGATTGAAACACTCACTCATACACTTGCAGGCCCGATTTCCATGCTGGTGAAAGCCCCCTGCTGCAGGTCAGCCACAAACATGAAGGATTGGCAGAGCCGTCCCCTCCACCACTGACTCGTTCTTTCTCATTTTGCTGCTTCGCTGGCGATCACTTGGGCAGATATTTGTGGTGCATCTGCTGTATTTTAAACCATGATCTCAGATTATTTGTCACATGTTAATTGGTGTGCTTTCCCCTCTTTTTCTCTCAGTGGGGAACCATCTCAGTGCAATGGTACATCAAAGGTAAGCAGAAAACACCTGAATAAGTCCTGTGTTCATAGAAGTGCACTCAGTTTATCAGCGTATTTTCTCATACAAGCACATGCATGTCTGTGGTTAACAGTATGTTGTTGTGCCGTCAAAGATGAATATGAACCCAGTTTTACATGGTTATCATAAAGTTGTTGCTGCTTTTGCTTTTAAGTACTTTTGCTATAGTTTAACAGTAAATTAAATTAGAAAAACGTAAAGCAACTTTAATGTGGACTTGTGATTATCTCATCATACAAATATTAATATAGTGGTGATCACATTAAATGGGGTCAAAGTTTAAAGTGATGTGGTAAATTTTTCTCAGTGAGTCAAAAGCTCAGGCTTATTAGCTTTTCTTTCCTACTCTTGGCTCTGTATGTAATCAGTGTGAGCAGATATTCCCTAGCATGGTCATCTCAGCCCCCTGCTGATTTGGCTGCAACCACAGAAGCTCCACACACCTGCTGTTCAAACCCTCTGTTTATGAGCGACAGCCATTCACAATAAAGTTAGCCAAAATTTGTTTCTGACTGTGGGTGGACACCAAGCCTTGGTAATAATATTTTAAACTGTTAGTCATGCAAAGCTATTAATGTCCAAGAATAAAACGAATATGGTACTCAAATTGATCCTCATAGGTCAAAGCAAACCTTTTGGTTCAAATTGTAACTTCCTCACAATGTTATAGCCTCAAACAAAATAAAATGAAGTAAATTATGTGCCCTGTGATGGACTCGCAGGATGTGCCCCAAATTTCAGAAGTTATTCTGTTGATTGTATAGAAAACGGTCATTAGTTGTAGTCCCAATAATTTCAGCATTATTTCTTTTGATGTGTACAAGATGTCTCTGGCAGAAAGGCAGAATATTGATCATGTACCAATTTCTCTCAGGGCTTTTACAACAGAAGACTTCAAAGTGCCTGATAAGATGGTGGGATTCAGTAAGTAGCCTAACATTTGACCTGTAATCATCAGTATTGACATTCTGCTCAGTTTTTGGGTCAAAGCACTGGGCCTCAATCTAAATTGTGGGGCGGGGGAGAAAAGTTAAATGCTGAAATTTCTCTCTTTTTGCTCAGTCATTGGAAAAGGAGGCGAGCAGATCTCAAGAATTCAGCAGGAATCAGGTTGTAAGATCCAGATTGCTTCAGGTAAGTCCAGTTTAATCATAAACATAATATAAAAACATGGTGGCAGTGAGGTCTTTCAAGGTGGCAAAACAAATGTAATAACACATAACATGGTCACTTTTCATTTTGTATTTAAATACTGCGCCGTGTGCGTTACTCACTTTTATTGTGTGCAGCAATAAAAGCTGATGGTGAATGTTGTTTCCTCTGAGGGTCAAACTGTGGATGGAAAGAAGTTTGACATAAATTAAATGTTGACGAGGTGAAAAAGCATTAAAAAAGCCCCAGATGAAAATTTAATTTATTGTATATGTATAATGTACAACTTAATATATTTCAAACTCTCATCTTCTGTTTTATTTGGTCTTGTTTTGGTGACGCATTGGGTTTCTCCAAAGCTTCAGCCTTCCATTAATATCTTTTTTTCTTTTAAGTCTGAGCAAACTTGCTAATTTTTCATGATTGTATTTTAAAGATACAATTTATGCTAGCAGAAGCCTCGTGTCTCTGCCAGAGGCCGTTCTGCATTTGCAGCATACCTGCAGATTAAGAAAATGGTGAATTCAGGATTTTGTATAGAATATTTACCTGAACTTTTTGTTTTTATCAAGCTTTAAGTTTGCATGAGCAAGCCTGTACTTTTGTGGACGTAAAGTATGATGTGATAAGATCAATTACTAAGTTTTCTGCTAAGGCTAGCAAACTTGGTTAGTAAGCTGCATTCACAAACTATAGCTGAAGCTCACATGCCTGCTAATTAGTGCAAAGTCAAGGACTAATAAAATATTAGAAACACTCTAATCCTGGAGCGCAGACTTCCTGGATGTCTGCTCCACACTTTAGGCTAAATTTCACTGTCAGATTCCACATAGTGAAAGTTGGACTTTAACATGTGTTACTAACTTTTACCATTTAGGGAAGGGGAAGAAAGTCTAAATGCAGGGTTTTGGTTTTTTTTTTGTTTTTGTTTTTTTGTTTTAAACCAGGTTGTAACCTATTGCATAATATAAGAGCCAGTCGCAAGTGGACTTTACACTTTAGAGGACCTGCAGTTTGTGGCACTTGGCATTTTTATTTTCCAGCCTCTCTGTGGCTCTCGTCTTTGTTCTGCCATTCATTTATTCTTTGTCTTTGAGCCTAGTACAGAGGGTTTGGGAGTTTTGTTTCGTTTTTTTTCCTCCCCACTCAAGCTAAATTAACAAAACAGAGGATTGTCTTCGCATAGTTTGTCCAACATTGGTTCCAGTGTTACTCGCACAACTATCAGCACTGTGACATGCAGTGTTCGCCACATCTCAGGCTGTGGTTTGTTATCATGTTAAGTTGCAAGTTTGTGAAATATGTTGCTGAAAAATGAAACTCACCTTTTCTAACATGCAGTGCATTCATTTTTTTTATTGCATGAAACTAAAACTTAACCAAAACTACTTGTAAGTGCAAAGATTTATTTTTTAGTGATGAGTTTCTTTAATTGTCTGTTTTCTTGCAGACAGTGGAGGCATGCTGGACAGACCCTGCACGCTGACTGGCAGTCCAGAGAACATAGAGTAAGTCTCACATTAACTTTGACAGATTAGCTGGAACTCCACATGTCATTAGGAAAGTGTGCCCTTTTGTCATTCAGGGCTTGAACTCCAGTCTCTTTTCACTTGAAGTGCTGATCAGTGAATGAATCACCTGAGCTCATCTTTCACAACTGCAAAGCGTTTTCTTTGGGGGTGGTTGTGCAGGTTGTAGTGACAAATCCCTTGTCTTGCTCTTGGCTCCATCCCTCCAGGCAGGCAAAGAGGCTTCTGTGCGAGATTATCGAGCAGTGTAGGTATGGTCCAGGCTTCCACAATGAGATGGACGGGAACAGTTCCATTCAGCAGATCCTGATCCCTGCAAACAAAGTCGGCCTGGTGATTGGAAAAGGAGGAGAGACCATTAAACAACTGCAGGTCCGCGAGTAGATGCACTGCACTGATAACACAACACATGCACTACAGTAAAAACGAACCATGGTGATGACCTGATTTTTTTAACTTCGTATTATTATTGCAACATTTTGCATACAGATTGTAGGACTATAAAGATTGCAAATGGAGAGAATGGGTTTGGTGTTTAACAACTGTTGGAAGTTTCGGGGGACACGTCACAGCCCTGTTGCACAGGGTTAAACTTTATTTTATTTTTTAGAAGGTGGTTTCGGTGTTTCGTGTTAGTGTGTTTGAATCACGTGACTGTAATTAAAAATATGCCTTGAAGTGGTAACTGTCTGCTTTTTCTGAGAGTTCTGCAAAAAGGACACTAAAAGCACAAAGCCATCCTCTAAAAGAGGTCTGAGGAAGAAGGAAGCAGCTCTAGTTCTAAATTATCCACTGACTTACAAACTGCATCTTTAGAACAGATCAAATTGAGGTGGTCAAGTTGAAATTGATTTCTTTAGACTGGTTCTTTTGGGATAAACTTAAGGTTTGTGTGATTCTTCATCGAGCATTTAGGAATGAGTAAAGTGTTTGACCTGTCCAGTAGAAACTGACTCAAACTGAAATCAGCTGGGCTCTGTTTTAAGCATTAATCACTGCAGTAAGAACAATCGGAGGGCCCTTTTCAAACATTTTTCAAGGGACCTGTTTCAGTACCAGTGTGTGTTTTGAGCCTTGTTGTCAAATGCAGTGGTCTGATTGGTCAGATATCTTTATTCACATGAAAACAAACAAACAAAAACAAGCTTGATTCAAAACTAAATGCCACAAATTTATCCTGCAAAAGTACATGGTTTGTGTGAACGGCTGCATTCAGAATAGTTTTGTTTTAGTTTTTTTAACAACAAAAAATACATCCTGTTCTTTGAGATGTGCTAGAATCTCCTCCTTTTTGGAGCGAGTAGTATTTTGTTCCCCAGGTAACTCTTTGGTGGTTGTTTCTTCTTCTGTCTGATTGTACCCCTGCAGGAGAGAACAGGAGTGCAGATGATAATGATTCAGGATGACCCCATGCCCACTGGAGCAGACAAGCCCCTGAGAATCACTGGGGATCCCCACAAAGTGCAGGTCAGCCTCAGAAGTGCTCAGTGTGTGCCACTATCTGTCCTGTTTTACACTCAATTTTACACATTTTATGCCTTCAGCCTTCGACTCAAACATTTTATTTCGAAACTTTTTATTTTTTTGAGGAGCAGTTCAGTCCGACTTGGCTGTGTTTCACATGCAGGATTGTTTACCCAGTATTTGAATTTTCTTCTTAGCAAGCCCGTGAACTTGTGGTGAAGCTCATCCGGGACAAAGACCAAGGGGACTACAGAGCTGGCAGGGCAGATTTTGGCTCCAAAATGGGTGGAAGCAGTCTGGACGTGAGAGCTTTTTTCTCTGCTTTTCAGCTTCGGGACAGCCAGCTAAATTTGCTCAGAGTGCATTTAAGCGTTCTTCATTTTCCTTTCTTTCTGTCAACATAGGTGGTTGTGCCTAGATTTGCTGTTGGCATCATCATTGGCAGGAATGGCGAGATGATCAAGAAGATTCAGAATGACGCTGGGGTCAGGATCCAGTTCAAGCAAGGTAAAGAGGATTGAACAAGGCCTCATTTTGGCCATTTCTGCCTAATACGATTGGGTCTAGATTAATTACTTCACATACAAGGGAGTAGCTGATGTGCATCTCTGGTATTTTAATTAAGCTGTCGTAAAATAAGCTGTCATCATTTGTAGTTAATGTAAACTGTAGAGTAAGAGGTCAAGAAAGCCCTTAAAATCTGACATGAACGACACACAAAATATGGATTCAGTACAACCATGGGCTCTTGAGTGTCTTTGCAAGTGCTTGAAATCAAATTTTTGTACTTTTATTATAATAATTTTACATTTGTAAAGTGTTAAACTTGTACATTTTGGTCCTTATCAGCCTACCTGCATGTAAAAGATGACAAAATTATAGTTGTAGTGGTGATGTACTTTACAATCAGTCACAGAAAAGCTTTTTCTGAATTAGCCCAGCTGTCAGTAGCTGTTCATTCAGAAGTTACGGTTTTGTTTGACATCTGTCTCCTGGAGTGCGTGCGTAGTTGGTGCATTTTCATGTAAATTCTCTGGAGACGTGTCCATGCAGTCACGGGGGAAAAAAACCAGGCAGCCACTAAAGTTAGAAACATATCACCTATATTTTCTTTATATACTTTTCTGAATTTAAATTGAGTCTTCATGCGGTTTAAGCTTCTCTAAAATAACTTTTCCTCCCTTGAATGTGGTTGTTCAGATGACGGTATCAGCCCCGACCGTGTAGCTCAGGTGATGGGACAGCCCGACCACTGTCATCATGCGGTCCACCTCATCAATGAACTCGTTCAGACAGCTCAGGTATGTGCTTCTTAGTCCCCGTGTATTTGCATCTGTTCATGCAAAGTTGGCTTTAAATATTTAATTAGACAATTTGTTTATGAATAAATTTTTTTATTTTATTTTTTTTAAAGTCCATCAGAGCAGTCGCTCATATGCAGGGATTTTTTTCCTGACCTCCAACAATCTGTCAAGTTCTTTTGTGTCTTTATTATAATGACCTTTCTCCTGTCTCCTTCTGACAGGAGCGAGATGGATTTGGCGGCGTAATGGGACGTCGAGGGCGAGGTGACTGTAACATGGGAGGGCCTGGAGGTCTGCAAGAGATGACATATGCAGTACCAGCTGATAAGTGTGGCCTGGTGATTGGCAAAGGTAAGGAAAATGTTCTGGGGATATTTAAACACAGATACAGTTTTTTCTTTTAAATATCACTAACGCTTAAGCACAAGATGCTGTTTTTTGTATTTGTTTGAGCTGATGTTGCATAAGCCTGATTAAAATGAGCAGACTTCATAAGAGTATCCAGCTCAGCAGATTGCAGTTTCCATTTTAATAACTGCCGTTTGGTGTCCTGCCTCTGAGAGAGACTGATGAGGAGAGGAGGGGGTGAGTGACCACCCTCCTATTATCCCTCCAGGGCTCATGTATACAGCACAAGTGGCATTCATTGGCTTCACTAAGGGCTTAATGACGGGGATAATGCGTGTAATGTGACATTAATTGTTAAAGGTGCATAATAACAGCCCTCAATCATGTGGAAGGCTGCCTGGCATCTAATGAGGGTCTTTCAGCCCAATAGAGTGCAGCGAGGGAATGAATAGGAGGAATTAGCTTATTGGCTATTCATGCCCACTCTATTGCCAGCTATTTAAAAGTCATTGACCATTGCATTGGAAGGAGCTGTGTGTGTGTTGTATGCTAGGATGGATGCTGCCTTAGTGTGTGTGTGTCTATGTGGGGAAGGGTGGGTCAAAGGGGGCCTCTTTACCTAAGATAAAAACATGGCAATAGAAATGTCAAGTGGCTTTTGTGCATGTAGTGGGGCGAGGGAAACAAATAAACCTGGGCGTTGCGTCCCCCTCTCTGTGCATTAGCATATGAAGTGGGCCAATATGGTGGAGATGGCGGTGGGTCTGGGTGCTGTCAGGCATCCCTTAAAGGATGCAGTGATTAATATCTTTACGATGCCATATGCAGCTCATTGCCCCTCTGTTCTGACCTCATACACACCGCCACACCGAGCTTGACGAATCAAGCCACCCACCAACCTACTCAGACTTTACCAGAGACGTGCAAAACACATAACCAGCATCACAAAGTATATATCAGTATATCCGTACATTTGCCGTAGTGCATCTGTATATTTGCTTAACTTATCTGTATATAATTGCTCTTATTGCACTTCTGATTAGATGCAAACTGTATTTCGTTACCCTGTATTTATACGTGTGTAATGACAATAAAGTTAAATCCTGATCCGAAAGTTACACCGCACAAGTTTTAACCTGAAACATCTAAACCCACAGTGGGCTGCTACCTTTGCTACTGGCTAAAATTAACATTTGTGTAGGAACTTTTGTTATTCATCATAATTTCAACCACTTGTTGTTGTTTTTTTGTTTTTTTTAATGATTTAAGCTTTTAATGATGTGATTTTGATATGGGGTTGTTTTGCTAATTTAAGCTGAGTGAGTAAATATTTAAAAGGGCCTGTGACTTTTTCAGCTCTTCTTGTCAAAGAGACAAAAATAAACTACCAATAAGTACGTCTGAGACGTAATAAAATGTTTAGTTTTTTGGGGTTTTTTGGCTTTTTGGGGAGGTATTTGGGTTTACACTGTTTATATACTGAATTGTTTGCACTTTTAGTCCTTTTTTTTTTTTTTTTAATTTTAAATCTCATTAGTGACAGACTGCTGAGAGCACGAAGGCACGTTTTTATCTACTCCGTTTTTTTCCTATTTCATTTTTTAAAATTTATTTTATAACTTCTATTTTAAGTTTTTAAACTAACCAATGAGATGTTAAAATAAGATGTGATCTCTAATTGTTTATTTTCTTTGGTAGATTCCTAATCTTAAAAAAAAAAAAAAAGCCCAACCCTTCATTTGACTTATTTTGTAAAAGGTGTTAAAAATATATATAAACAGTCTTCCCTTGGAGATTAATGTATTTGAATGGGGCTACAGGTTTGTCTGTTTCCCTGCTCTCCCAGTGGAGCAGAGACTTTCACTGTTTAAAAGTAAATAAATAAAATTTTTACCTCAGCTGCATTTAGTTTGTTATTAGGCTGGGGTTTCAGTCTCAGCAGTATTTCATTTTATTTGGCCTTCTTGGACAACAAGTCAAATGGTGCATTGGTGTTTATCCCATAACACGAGTCAATACCCATCCTTATTTTTTTAAAGTGGGAAAATACTTGCATGCAGTTCAGCGAATATACATTTCTGTTCGTGTTTTAGAAGTTTTATTTATTCCACTATTTCAGCTATAACACCCCACTGTAATGTCATATAAAGCTGAATTCAGCGACATTAGAAACATCGCTGCCCGTTCTGCTAATTCTACTTTCCCTTAATGCCACTAGAAGTTTTATTTTCCCCACCAGCAGCTAACCAGTCCCTTGGCTTCGCCCTGAATGCCGTCACCAGTTGCACTTTTGTCTCCCTCCTTTTCTCCACCTCGCTAAACCAGTCTCATTAATAAAGCCTGTATTATCTGTCCTCACTACAGCCCAGTCCATGAAATGAATAGTCGGGGTCTTCATTGCTCTCTGCTGTCTGACTAGAAGAGCTCATAATGGCTTCATTAAGGCAGAAGTTTCATTTGGTTGACAATGGGTTAATGGCCCATGTGCAGTCTTTTGGCAGCATGGAATAAGGCTACCGGAGGAGGAGAGATTTTTGATGAGCGCTTTCATTCGGAGGTCAGCCAGGGTCATCAGAGTGTCAGCCACAAGTGAACAAATATGTAATTGATGTTGGGACAGCCCCGGTGTCCCCCCGGGAAGCACCCTCGGAGACCCCCCCCCCACCTCTCATCACAGAGGACAACACCGAGTCAAGAATGAAAGGGGGTAAAAGAGACAAACGATATCCCAGAAGGAGGATACGCTTCAATTTTGGCCCCCTTTCTCCTGCCAGCTATGTTTCATTTCTCCCTGCTGGTGTAATTGCTCTCCCCACACGTCGGGAAGCTGGCATCCGATGCAGAGGAGGGGCTGTCGTGCAGGAGATGTCTTCCTTTGTTTCCTGATTTGCATGGATGTTACAAGAGAATGGTAGATAAGTGGTGAGACACATGCCGTATTTTTCTTAAGGTAGCACTCTTAGATTTGGTCAGAAGAGAAAGTTGGCCCAGTGCTCGCTCCATGTGTTGTGGAGCAAAGCACCGAGTCGGACCTCAGAAGAGAGGTTACGATGACTTTGGTCTTCATGCAAACCCTGTAAGACAAACTTGACGGTCTCGTATTGAATGGCCAGAACGTGTAGTGAGCGACAACTGCTTTCTTCTCTCATTGCTTTAGTTTTGATGAAGTCACACACAGATATCATTTCCTTCACTTATCAGGTAATAACCTAATTTAAAGTAAAGACCTTTACACGCCGGCTGCGTGAAATCTGTGCAAATAGTTCATGCATTCGAAATATTTTTCAGACTCTCCTTTATTTATTTTGTTGTTTTTTGATACAGCCGTGCACACGGATTTTTATTTTTTTAATTTATTTTTAATTTTTTCTTCCCATATCTGAATAAACTGATCTGGCCAATCAGATCATTACAGCTTTACATGTACAAAAGCCGTCATGATACAGCTCCAACTCTGATGAAACCACAGAAACAACAGGACCAGCTCATCATCGCTTGGTCTCATCTTGTTTTTAACTGCTTTTTATTGTAATTTCTTTTAGTTTAAGGGCAAATTTCTCACAAAAAGTGTGTGTGTGTGTGTGTGTGTGTGTGTGTGTGTGTGTGTGTGTGTCACAGCCAGTTTGACTCTGAAAATTCTGAATTTCGTGAGTTGGGTGTGTAACGACTTTTAGCCTCTTGGCCTTAGAAAGATGGCAGGATGCATAGATGGAGTCATAAATAGAAAGAAGAGGGGAAGCTGTTATTTATGGTTTTTACAAATTCAGTCATGCAGATAATTGGGAACTAGCGGTGTATATGAAAGCCAATCGTTAGGAAGGGCTGTGGACATCAGTGATAGCAGTAGCATGGAGAGAACAGTGGTAATGAAATCTAAAGTGGATTACAGCTCCTGTAAATATTAGTCGGGTGCATTCATAGGCAACAATTAATAAAACTGAGACGTTACTAAAATCGTTTCCTTGTCTGGAGCTTCTTTCAGCTGCTCCAACATTCACAAAGGGTTGTCACAGCGGAGGATGAAGGCTCTTCTTGACATAACCCTCTCAAGCATTTGTTCCTCCTCTTGGTCTAGAGCGAGGGCTCTTTTAACATGTTAGGCGAATGTGTTAACCACTGTGCTAAACACATAACCTTGTTCCCAATTAGCTGTAAGCTTTTCACTGCTTTATTATGATAAACTCTGACCAGTACTGATAGTTGAGCACTTCAGATCTTGGAGTTTACTTGGAGATTAGATCTGAAGTCTTCCAAACCCACCTCAGCCCACAAGTGTTTGGCGTTAGTGCTAAATGCACTGTTGTTTGAAAAATGTGTGCAAGCTGCATATGAAAATTGAGTGCGTTTTTTGTTTTGTTTTTTCAGGTGGAGAAACCATCAAGAACATCAAAGAGCAGTCTCGTGCCCACGTGGAGCTGCAGAGAAACCCGCCGCCCAACACCGACCCCAACGTGCGCATCTTCTCCATCCGAGGCACCCCTCAGCAGATGGAAAAGGCCCGCCAGCTGATCAATGAGAGAATTGGGGTAGGTGGTCTAGCTCCAGCCCCCACGATACTCCCTCCCCAAAATGTCCATTGTCTGGTCTGATATTCATGAGCGCACATGTCAAAGCGGGGAGCTTCTCGGTTGAGCTAGGCTGCTCTGGTCCTGGTGGCCAGCAGGATGTCACCAGAGGTTAAACATGAAGAATCCATCAAATGGACTTAATGGAGTGCATCAGCGCTCGGCCCTGCCCTCTGACCTTGCCTGTTGGCTCCTTTTAAACACAAGTGTGGTCTCCTCTCTTTATCTTGTCCAGGGCCCAGGAATCGGGGGGAACAGCACCTTCGGTATGAATCCCTACAACCAAGGACCAACCACTCCCCCGCAACAGTAAGGGTCCATTTCTCTCCTCCTCACAGTGCATTTTAACACATACCTATGTGAATATAGATGTTCAGCAGATGCCGTTTAAACTCACGATTGCAATCTCCTTTTTGAAGTGGGCCTCAGACGTTCATGACTGGAGGATGGGGGACAACTTTTCAGATATGGCAACCCCAAGGACAACAGGATAACGGTGAGTAATCTCACCAAGAATGTGCTTCTTTATCTAGACGAATACTGTGATGCATTTTAAGTTCTTTTATTAGCTATAAATTTGAAAACGGCGACCAAAAGCTCGGCAGCAGAGCACGAATAGCTCTGTTCTCAGTCTTTGGCAGCTTTCCCGGAGGTTATCCACGTGTTTCTTGCACCGACGTGTTTTCCATTTGCTGTCGGTGGAAATCCTCAGAAAGCAGCATTGCAGATGGAAAAGCGGAAAAGTAAAATCCAGCCTCAGTAACTCTGGCGGCATTATCTGTGTCTGGTTTCAGGTCACAATGGATCCCAGACGGGCCAGATGGACTGGGAGCAGTATTACAAAAAGTTAGGCAAGTGTCACTCAGGAACAAAAGGACATTTATCCTTCAGCTCTTTGTTTTACTCTTTCAAGACTGAAGTTGAATCTCATCTGTGCACATTAAGCTTTATTCACACAAGTGTGTTTTTAAAAAAGAAAAAAAAGAAAAAGAAAAGAAGAGAAAGTCAGTGGAGTAGAAAATAAAAATTCTGCTCGTTATAGGTCAGCAAACCCAGGCCCAGAGTACTGTTCCTGAATACAACAAAGGATGGGGTATGTAGTTTTACCGTGTTGTTTTAGGAGTGCAGTAGATACGGATTTAAGCATATGCTCAATTCCTGCATTTGTTTCTTCACCTAATTTGTTTTTCCCCTCCTTCTGTTCAGGCCAGGCGGCTAGTCCTGGATCTCAGCAGACCTCCAATCCTGACTACAGCACCTGGGTTGACGTCTACAGACAGCCGATGGCCTTCTTCAGCCAGGGCGCTCAGACGCAAGCCCCGGGTCTTCAGGTGAGGTCGGACTCAAATGTACAGATGTTGAAGGATCAGCCCGTCTCATACGGCATGCATATTTATTTTTTATTTTTTTGTATTGCTGCTGATTGTGGTTTACATTTAACAAATCATAGTAGTGATATTTTACTTTAGCCAGGTGTAGTAAAAATATGTACTGTTTTTGTTTGTTTTTGTTGGGATTTTTTTTTCTTGATAAATAAAATTACATTTGTTAAAAAAAGTAAAATATTTATTTAATATATATTATCTTATATTATATATATAAATTTTTTTTCCAGCTTAAATTGGTGTATTTAATACTAAGCTCTTGGAAAATAGGACGAAAAAGCAACTTTACTCCCATTAAGACTGTAAATATTTTATCCATTAACTGACTGTTAATTAGAAATAGTTCACAATCAAAATTAAAACTGTTTTTAGAAAGCTCGCAGTATGCTGCTGCACCGAACACTGTGACGATGCAGCGTTTTTGCAGTGCTGTCAGTAGTCGCACGTTTTAATGGAAGTGCCTGACAAATGTCGATGTGCTAAACGCTGTCATGTTTTAACTTTACAGGATCATTAGAGAAGGCGCCCAGGTTAAAGACTTGAATCACTGAGGATGAAAACAACCCTTCTTCTTCTTCTTTCTTTTTTTTTTTAAACTGGGGGTGGGGGTGGGGGGGTCTAGATTTCCAGCGCCTTGAAGACTTTTTTTTTTTCTTAGTGAGAAACACTAGCTGTAGAGTGACTTATATAATAAAGTAATATTTCTAAAATCAGGAACATTTATTTGTTACTAAATGCTTATGTACACTGTTATTTTGGATAGACAGTATATGGGATCCCTTTGTTCTTTGGACTTGAGAGAGCTGTTCTGTTATATTTTTTTTCTATATTTTCCTGTCTTTGCTCAGTTTGCGCGCCAAAATGAACCCAAGAGTTGTAACATTTCAAAAGGCAATATGATCTATTTTTTTCTAGCTCTGTCGAAATGAAACCATGATTGTGTGCTTAGCAGTCTTGAATACAGTGTTTTGTTGTCACATGTCATAAGATGTTTAAAACGTTTGTTTAAAATGTTTTTTCTCTCCTTTTACATAATTCAATAAAATGAAACTGTGATGTTTTTGTTACAGGTTTGTTTTGGGTTTTTTTTGTTTTTTTAAAGGTTAAAAGGTTTAAGGTGGGTTAATGTCAGCCAGTGGCAATAGTTCTAATTTAATTCCTGTTGTGCATTGTTATGCTGTTTCATTGTCATTTTTATTGTACTCTGGTTTAAAGAAAGGTGCAATATCTTATTTCACTTTTGAAACAAAGATGGGTTCTCTAATATTTTGACAGACTTTTTAACTTGTAGTTTTAAGATGATTTTTTTTTTTCCAAATGCAAATGTCATGGATAATTTATTACACTGATCTGATTTAGGGGGATGTTGCAAATAGCTTTTTTGACTTTGCTACCTTGTACAACTATGTATATATATGCTCATATATTTGACTGTTTAATTTAAACATCTGTTTCATATATATAGATATATAAATACTTTTTTTCCTGCGATCAGAGTTGCAGGAAAATTGTCCCTCTTTTTCTGTTCTGTTTTCATACTGAAAATGTTCAGATTGTGAATGTGCGATTTGAAATTTGATGTTGCATCTTGTTATGAAGCAAAACAAGACGTGGTGGATTTTGTTTTTATTTTATTTTTCTCTCCTCTCCTGGGTGTGTGTTCTGTACCTGAACTATTCAAGACTGCTAAGCCCCTGTAATTCGTACCTGTGTAATAATTAATGTAGTATTTTATGTTTTAAGTATTATGATCAAAACCTGTCTTATTTGGTACCTCCCAGTTCGCCGGCGCCCCCTCTGAGCCCTTGCTGTGGACTCGGCGGGGCGTTGGACTCAGTCCAATGCTAATACCTTTTTATTTTTTTTTTTTTTTTTTTTTTTAATTTTCTTGTGTGATCTAATATAAATGATGCGTCATTATAGCAAGTGATTCTGGTTATTAACGTCATTTCTTAATGAAAAGGGATATAAATTCAAAATGTCTAATTATGGTGTTTATTTTGTTTGGTTCTTTTTCCTCCTCTTGTGTACAGTTAACCATGTATTGAAAACATCCGGACTACCTTTATTGTGTACTGTTGAGCTGAATTTTTATTTTATTTTCTTTTTTCTGTTTGAATATTGTAATCATTTGGATGTCTTTGGTTGTATTCTGATACTAAAGTGTTAAATTTCACATCTGAAACTTTCTGAGAGCTCTATTGTGTTCGTGTGTGTATATATATATACTAACAGATGATACATAGAGGATATATAGGCCAAATGTATGTTTTCATGTTTTATAAGCAGAATATCTATTTTCTATAGTCCATTGCCAGTTCTCAAATTCAAATAAATTTTCCGCAAGCCTCTCTTGTGGGTGATTTATGCTATTACACGTTCATAATGGTAACTTTTCTGCACTGCCGAGCTGCTGCATGCTGTAATACTTCCACTGCGTTACGTCCACAGACAAAAAAATACCTGCGTGTTTAAGAGTCTGTTGCATGACTTTTCATTGAAACTGATTTTTGATTTATTATTAAAATAAGCCACTGCCTTAAGTTTCTGGATGAGGACTTCAGTTGGAGTTGTACTATAGCAGACTTCACCTTCAGAGCCTGTCAGGAAATCTAAAGTTGGCCTTCATTTTATCTTTTATTTTATTTTATTCTTTTTTGCTGCTCCAAATGCTGCACTACTTGGCCACATTTCCTCTACAGCCATTCCTCATTGCACTTGAAACAATTCTTGCACTTTTTCCTTCCTCATCCTTCTCGCACATTAAATGCTTAAAGCCAGCATCAGCTCATTCCACTGTCCTGTCCCACCCCTCCTCCTCTCCTGCAGCTCTTTCCAGCTTTGTCACTGCACATCTTTGCCCTCAGCAGGGAGGCTCTTGCCACAGTGGATCCTGCGTGGCCCCGTAGCGGCCCCTGCTTTGATGCCGTGCAGCTGTTTCCAAATCCAGCCCTTGATTTTGATCCTCTTCGTCTTTAACGTGCCATCCCTGTGGACGTTTTGGACCTGCTGGGTCCTTTGTGGCCATCTAATAATTTTTTCTTTTTAAGCAGAGTGAGAGGGGCACTTCATTATCTGTAGACACACCGAAGCATTTTCCTGCTTATCCAAACTGACAGTATGATGGGGAATTTATGCTGAATATGCCGATCTGTTGCACAGGCAGGTGCCCCTGTATTGAAACGTTGATTTAAAAATGATCCTGCTTGTACAATAGTACTGTGGCCTTTTTAAAAGCGACTGCCTTCAGTCTGAAAAATGAGAAGAGCAGAGCATTTAAAGTAAACCACATTTTTTTTGATGTATTTGTGTGCAAGTAAAATATTCCTCAAATTATTTTAATGACTTTATGCAGGTTTTGCAAATGTTGTGCCAAATCAATGTAGTTCTAGGGACCTTTACTTCATTTTGAGGCCTCTATTGTTCCACCTCACTTAGCTTGTAAACAGCAAAATGATCTATAATTTCATAAACACTCTGCAGAGTGTCTAAAATTAAGATGCGTCATTCTGCATTTATCTTACATCACCTGAGCCCGAATCACTCTTAAATTCCTAGATTTTTTTTTTTCCCCCTCCCCAATCATAGCTGAACATTTTCATTATAATTCAATTTTATTTTGCCTATATTTGAGGTAGAATGGCAATGTATAAATAATTGGGAATATCGTTCCAGAATAACATTTTAATATAAGGTAATTATAGTCTACTCGGCATGAAAAAGCCTTCGCATTTCAGAATTATTGGATATTTTTAACACTGTTAGATGGGGGAATGGCAGCATTGGTTGTTTTATCCTCTTCCCCCTGCGCTGTGTCCAGGTCTTGTTTGTATAAAAGAGCATTACTGATTGGAAAGGCCAACTTCGACTCAGCTGACTGTACGACTTGTTTTTATTACGTCTGCATGCAATTTGGTGCAGTTTCATTAGAAAATATTTTAGAAAACGATCAATTTGTCTCACTCATTATTTTTCAAAGGTAAAAGTACAGTTGTCGGTATTTGTTTATTTTCAAATCGCACTCCAAACTAATGATGAGAGAAACTGGATTTGTGGGACTTTTATCCACAGCTTAGCAGTTTTGCGGCTGCTACTCAATTTGGGTACATTTTCTCTTTAGAAGTGTGAAGTAGATTTAAGGGGATAAATCAAGTCGTGACATTTTAATTATTACTGCAGTTTCTGCTGATTGTTCGAAAAAGGAGACTGATATAACTTCGCAGTTTCACGTCGCAGCCAGTGTTGGGCAGGACGAACCAAACCATGTTTCAATTAGTTTCCATGCTTTGTAAGTAATGGTGGGCCTACACACACACACACACACACACACCCCTCCACATCCAGCAGGTGTCCTGTCCCGCAACCGAGGGAGAGAGGGGTGAAGAAAAAGAGGCTCTTAGGGGTGTGGGTGGGGTGGGGGCTGCACCTCTCTCACCTTTGCAGCAGATGAGCCGGCCTCCAGGATCCGGCGCACTGTGGCAGCTACCTTAATCTGTTTTTAATGACACTGCGGAGGATCCCGCGGGAGGCTCTGCGCTCCTTTCTCCCTGCTGGTTGGACAGCAGCAGTGTGTGTGTGTGTCGCTGAAGCGGGCCTCAGTTAAATTCATGCGGATGTTTGGGTAAAGTGTCAGTGATTTACGTTCTTATTTCTAACGAGCAACAATAACGGGGAAAAAAATTTTCCAAGCAAATTCTTGAAAGCATCGTTTAATATTGAGTAATTTTCAGTTTATTCTCTGACATTTTAATGTGTAAAGCCAATCGTGTTTTCTCCTGTTTTTCTTCAGGGGTGTATCTCTCCATTCTCACCCCCTCCGATTCGCGTAAAATTCCGCTATTTACCCACAAACAAACGCTCGCCTTTGATAGGTTTCCCAGCAGCTCTTTGAAATCCATCAATTACCACATTCTTTGTGCAATAATTGTCAATCATCCACATTAAATTGATAAGCTTTAAATGGACAGAATAATGGCTTAAATTGTTTTACAATGGAACGGCTAAGCGGGATGATTTGCCATTGCTGACATGCCCGCGGCTTTACCAGCTCCGCATAATGCCACAGGTTAATGCATAAATAAGCAAATCAAATCCATGCGTTACCCCAATTCAATTCATTTAATTCCTCTTTAATAAAGAAGCGGCCCACCCCCCCCGTCCCCGCCATTTACCTCGGATTTGTGCGATGAATGCTATAAATGTAAATCAATCTAGATGAGAAAGAATCCCATTGAAAGAGCAGAGAAATTTCATCTGGGAAAAAGGAGACAAACGTGGGAGGGGCCCGCTCATAAAAAGCAGCTGTACACGGTAATCTTTTTTCGTGCCCTGTCACTCACCTTGCCTTTTCACTATCTCTGCAGCTCAACAAAACTCTCCGCTATTGTATTTACTTGCCATATCTTCTGTGCCATTACATCGCCATAGTCCATATTCGTCCAGAGAGAAAGAAGGAGAGGGAGAGCTCAACGTTGCCCACTTTTTTTTTTTTTCGGACAATCCCCTTGTAGTTGTTGGACTGAAAAGAGGAGTGCATGGATGTCAAATTGCCCTCAAAACACCATGAAAGATTGATTTGCAGCACTTTTCAGGGCCCTGACATTACTGGGAGGGGAGCTGAATAGGAAACCTGTGAGCCAGGGATGGAATAAAGATGTCCTCTCTGCTGGAAAAGAAGGAAAAACTGCCCATTTAGCCCCAGTCCATCAAGCCCGAAAAATAGGCAGGAGAGGAAAAAACACAGAGGACTGCGACTATATGGAGAAGAAAAGGGCCCATATATACTCATCTAAACGTCGCCACAATACCGAGTGGGGGTGGAGGGGGATCCGAACATCCATGAATATTAAACCGCTTACCTCAACAAGGGCTTGAAAAAGTGAACCACGTCAAAGCAGCTTTGCATTTCTTTTGCATGTGAACAAAGCTGTAAAAGAAAGAAAGAAAGAAAGAAAGAAAGAAAGAAAACCCTAAAGTTGAGCTTGTTTCCATTCTTGTTATTCCCGCGCTAACTCTTCACAAAAAAATTAATATTACCACCACATGAATACGAAATGCATGAGAAAAAAATGGGCGAGCAACTCCCAGACGCAATGACCCACTTCTGTACGCATGAGGGGAAACTTCTCGTTCTTCTTCATCATCATTTTAACACCACCTTCTCCTTCTTTATTCTTATTTATCAAACATACATCATTAAGAAAGTCCCAACAAATCCACGGAAGCACCCCCCCCCCCTTCCCCGGCAGCACAGGTGTGCATTTAAAGCGTTTTTTTTATTTGTGTGCCTTTTTCGATCTCACATGCATGACTACAATGGCTTTGCGCATGTGTGTTAATTTAATATGCAGCTTTATGTGCGGATAATTACCAAAGTAAAGTTTGCCCCTCCGCTGACCCACCCTCCCTGCCTCCCCTCACTCTCCCCTCCTCTGTCTCCGTTGGTTTTAATGTCTCTGCTGGTTTGTTGCCGTGCAGCAGGCAGGTCCACGCGGTGAGGGGTGTGTCATTAATAAGTAATTAGACAGGGGTCACACTAGCCACTTATATAAAGAGACCCCCACAACCAGGCAGGGCAGCTTTACTGCGCACAGTTTGGAGCAGAGAGAGGGGCGGACTGAAGAGCAGCTCCCTGTGTGTCCACTTCTTCTTCTCCTTCTTCTCCTCCGCTCGCTGCAGCTTCACTTATCATCATTTCTGGGTTGATTTTTCCCCTCCTCGCTCTTTGTGTTTTGTTTTTTTTTTACTCGTCTTACAATATGGGCTCCGTGCTACCCGCCGACGCTTTGGCTCTAAAATCTGGATTTAAGTGTCCCAGTCGCTCGCTGTCGGACGTGATCACATCGGACATCCTGCACAGTTTCCTGTACGGCAGGTGGAGGAACGTGCTGGGCGAACACCTGGCGGAGGAGCGGCAGGGCAGCACCGGCAGCAGCCCCAAGACCGCCTTTACCGCCGAAGTCTTGGCTCAGTCCTTCGCTGGAGGTAGGCTGAGCTGCTGATGCTCTACTATTTCATTCAAATGTTTACCCACACTGCAGTGCGGGTTTGTGGTTTTTTAATGCAGATTTTGGTTTGTTTTCGTTACACCAGGTTGTGCGTAAAAGGTCCCCTTGATTTGCGCTTTATGGCTGTAGGACACATTTTTGGAAGTATTTGATCAAATCATCTTTCTTCGTTAATCAAAGCCGACAATAAAACTTTGTATTTTTTTTCCCCATAGATTTTCTCTCTCTCAAAATTCTCATTTATTTTCATCGCTATAAACACGGACCTGTTACTGGCCTTCCACAGCGCTTACGTCCTAAACTTTCCCTGACTCCTCGCTGCTTTCCACGTTTTCTCCCAATTTTTCTCTGCTTTTATTTCGACCCATTTAACGCGTTAACCCTTCCCCAGCTCCGAGACCTCGCGCTGGAGGCTTGTTAGGCGTGTAACTGAAAGACGCGGAGCATTAAATTCATTTGGTTAACTTTGTGCTTGACCTGGGAAAGTTTCCACTTAAACCTCGCGGAGTGAAAGGTTTCCTTTCTTTAAGATGTCCCCGGGTTTTTCTTTTTCTTTTTCTTTTTCTTTTTTTTTATCCTGCATTCATCAATCTCCGGACAGTCTCTTTTCCTCTCTTGGCAGCTATGGGGCTCCGGAGCCTTTCTCTTTCTCTCTCCTTAAAAGATTTGCTGTTCCTCACATAATGCACCGTGAAGGCTAAATCTAATGCTATTCATTGCATGTCAACCATCTAATCGCCTTTCCATTTTTTTGTTGCAGAAATTCCTGAGGCTTTTAACAAGTCCGCGTTTCATTCAGTGCAAATTTATTGCTACAAAGTTCTTAAAAGGATAATGAATTTGGAATTAGCCGTTTCTTTTCCAGTAAACTTTAATGAATATCACATCTGAAGCATGACAAATTGTTGGACCCTGCGCAATAGAGGACCATTTAACCCCTATTCGGACGGGATTTTTTTTTTTTGGCAGCCGAAGTAATAAAAAAAAATCTTTGATTTTGACATTAAAGAAGCACGATTTTCTTTTTTCCCCTCCCTCCTTTCTGTTGCGGATGAAAATGCTTTCCGAGAGGCTTTTGCACAACAAAAAGTTTCAATTCAGCCAGATAATCGAATTAAACGGAGGATGAGGTGTAGCTTAATATTTCGTGACTAAAATAAGATCCAGTTCATTTGCTGCTTTAAGGACTTTTTTCCAGCAAAGCTTTGGTGCTGAACGTCTCCCGACCACAGTGATCTGGCTCCCATGCCCTTTAACTGACACAAAGATTCATAGTACGCGGTATCATCTAAACTGACCAGCCGCTCTCAGTATTTTAACTTCCTTATAAAAAAAACCCACAACAAAACAAACAAACAAAACAAAAACATTCTCACGTTTCTTCCTCTTTATATTCGTAGAGGTGCAGAAGCTGTCCAGCCTGGTGCTGCCCAGTGAGGTGATCATCGCCCAGAGCTCGATCCCCGGTGAGGGTCTGGGCATCTTCTCGAAGACCTGGATCAAAGCCGGCACCGAGATGGGCCCCTTCACAGGGAGGCTCCTGTCCCCTGAACACGTGGACCTATTCAAAAACAACAATCTCATGTGGGAGGTGAGCTTCTAACTTCATTTGTTCATCCCGCAGCCTGATGAGGCCCGTGTTATCCAAATTCCTTAGTCGGACTCTTTATAAATTTCTCCCACTTTTTATTGCCTTGTGCGCTCAGGTGTTCAACGAAGACGGCACAGTGCGTTATTTCATCGACGCCAGTCAGGAGGATCAGCGCAGCTGGATGACTTACATCAAGTGTGCCCGGAATGAGCAGGAGCAAAACCTGGAGGTGGTGCAGATCGGCAGCAGCATCTTCTACAAGGCCGTGGAGGTGAGGACGCACTTAGGTTCAGTCCAGATAGCAGCTGTAACATGCCCATGGCATTAAAATACCTCTAAGCGTGTAAAATGCAGGTGCCACCTGCTGGCTAGAATAAGAACTTAACCCGTGATTTCTTTCTTTGTCATTTGCATCATTCACAGAGCAACTAATCGAAATTTCACGATGTCTAACTGATATTTTTTTTATCTCGCCTTTTCCCTCTCAGACCATCCCGCCAGACCAAGAGCTGCTTGTCTGGTATGGAAACACTCAGAACACGTTCCTGGGAATCCCTGGAGTTCCCGGAACCGAAGAAGAACACCAGAAGAAAGGCAGAAATGGTGAGAAGCAGGTTTTATTTCACTGTGAATGAAAAAGGAGCTACTTAAAAAAACAATCACGGTAACCACGTGAAACTCGAGCTGAAAAGGTTTTCAAACATCTCCTGCTCTTTTTTCTCCCCAGATGACTCCCACCCCTGTGACGGCCCTTCCTCGTGCTCCCCCTCCTCCTCCTCCGCCACCCCCTCTTCATCCACGGGTCGGATGCGCTGCGTCATCTGCCACCGCGGCTTCAACTCCCGCAGCAACCTGCGCTCGCACATGCGCATTCACACTCTGGACAAGCCCTTCGTCTGTCGCTTCTGCAACCGGCGCTTCAGCCAGTCGTCCACTCTGCGCAACCACGTGCGCCTGCACACCGGCGAGCGGCCCTACAAGTGCCACGTGTGCCAGAGCGCGTACTCCCAGCTGGCGGGCCTCCGGGCGCACCAGAAGAGCGCACGGCACAAACCAGTGGCTGCCGGAGCCGATGCGTCCTCCCAGGTGTCCCCTCCTCCCCCACAAATGACAGCCGTACCCCACCAGATGCCCCTGGTGCACCACATCCCAACCATGGTGCTATGATGACGGAAACACTGGAAGGACTGCCAGGCAAGACGACGTTGCACTTTAGATTAGAGCCGATTTGAGCAAAGGGTGCTCAGTGAAAGGAAAACACGAGTCGAGGTGACGGTGAAAGCATTTCTCGCCTAATTTGTTTTTGCGTGTTTCTTTTTGTCAGAAATCATGCTTTAATTTTTGTGTTTTGGAAGATGAAAGAAAGAGAGAAAAGACAACCCATATTTCGTTTTTATATCATTTGTTATCAGTGATTCTGTGCGTAATCCTTAAATCTAATTGATATGTTTGCATCAAATCCTCACCAGCTCAGGTGTAAAGTACCATCACAGATGTGTACAGTCATGTGAAACTAAGGGATGTACATGGTTTCCGCTGCATTGTTCCACACTGTAAACTAAAATAGTCACTTTAACGTTGTACAGACTGGGTACTTTGGAGAGTTAGGTAATTATATAAAAAATGGAATTGTATGCTACTGTACATGTGAATGTAAATACATTTGTGCTTTCTTCTATTCTAAATAAATGATATGATATTGCATGTGGTGGTGTTTCAGTTATTTTCATACATTAGTTCATCATTAACCATATGCCCAAGTTTTATTATCATATGTAAAAGCATCATGTTTCCCTGGACGGTTAGATTCTTTCTTTACTTTCCACAACAGATCCAAATATTTAAAGGAAAGTCAACATATAAAATAGAAACATAGAATAAATGATATTGGTTTGAGTCCTCTCCCTATCGTCAGCATGCAGGAGAAGAATTTAGTGAATTAAATCAGTGAAGTTGTTCTTCTGAAATGGTGCGTGTGCCTCAGGATTAAGCTTTTTTGGCTGTGTCTGTGTCTCTGGGTTTCGGAGTGTTTGTTGCCCATGTGGTTTTTTTTTTAAAATACATATAAATGGAGGCAAAAAGGGATGAAACATAATGTTCAAAAACGTAGATACTTCTCTAGCTCATTGGCTCATCATTTTTGGCCTGGACTTGTAATAATTTTTGCATCATAACAATTATTATAAGTAGTTAGATGGGCATCTAAGGAGCTTGGAAAGAAAGCGACCGGAGTTCTTTCAGTTTCTTGAAGACGTTTCACCTCTCAGCCAAGAAGCTTCTTCAATTCTAAAACCAAATGGTGGAGAGCCCCTGGTGTTTAATCCCCAGTGGAAGTTGTCCCTTAAGATTGTCAATGACCCACTATTGATCATTTGCCTCATCGTGGTCAGTTACCAGAAGATGAGGTGCTGAATTTTAACAATAAAAAGTTAATATGCAGTGTACAGTATTAAAGTACTGACCCACATGGATACTTTAACATATTTGGTGTAATCCCATTAACAAGTAGTTGGCGTGTTTTTATGATCAGTGCATATTGCCTGTGTTGCCATGGTGTTTTCATAAACCTTGGAAATATTTTTATAATCCTGCACGCTCAGCAGACTGATCCCCAACAAGTCCTAAAGCCTGAAACAGTAGTTTCTTCCACAGGATGGCGCCAGAGACACTAGAGAGAAGAGATGGTTTCACAAAAAGGTCATTTTGTGTGTTTTTTATGTGCTATCTTTGCTCATATTGGTAAATAGACTGTAGGGGTTATATGATTGTCTGTTACTGTAACTCCTGTGTGCTCTCTATTATAACCAGTCCAGTCCTTTTTGGCCACTTCAGACTGTTATTTTATATTTGTTGCATTTTCTGCCCCACTCTTGGCCAGATCTCTCTAGAAAAAGACAATTTTTATGTCAGTGACACTTTTTAGCTCGATAAATAAAAGTCACTTTACTGAAAACTGATTGCAGCCTCGCTTTGTACGAGCAATCGTCTTTCTTCTTTTCTTTTCGTTTTTTTTTTTTTTTTGGCAAATACTGGAAATCACTACTTTACTGGAAACACACCAAGAAACACAAAATGAAACATCCTGCACAACTCTTTATTGGTTAAAGTCATGATGTGACATGATGACCTGACTGATGCTGCTGTATTTGTCAGCTGTCAGACATTATCCAGCTTCCCAAACAGGAGTTTTTAGATAAGTCATCATTATAACAAGCACAGAGCAACACAGAGTCAGACCAGAGCGGAGATTAAACACTTTGCAGGGTGTCCGGGTGGAGAAAATGTGGCTGTCGTTCCTCTCCGCACCGCTGAGAGGAATTAGGAAGGCTTTTGACTGGATGTCGCTGCATCATCAGACACTGTCCACACTTGCTTTCCTGGAGAACGAGGTAAGTAACAGCATGTTTAGGACAACTCTGCAGATTATTGTTCTGAAATGATACCATGTTACCCAATGATGAACACCTTTACACTTGTATGCCTCTCCTGATGATGTCCCGTCCTTTGCTGAGGAGCAACAGCAAGACACGACCCAGGCAGCCACATTGTGCAGCGCTAAATAAAGACAGAAACTTTATCTGTCTGTTATCTGTTGCAGCATTAGCCTAGCCTCTTCTGCTGAGATAATGGTGCAGCAGGTAAACTGATCCCTATCAGGTGTAACATATGCCATTATCACATTCACCCAGGATGCATGTCTATGTTTTACGTCTTTATTTCATTAAAAAAATAAAACATAAAACAGCGGTGAAAATGTTGCTTATCTAAACAAAAAGAAATGCATTACTCACATTATTTAATTAATAAATATATTCAATAATAAATCTTTATGTTTAAAACTTTAGGAAAAAAATCTAGGGAAATTTAAAATCTTACCAGAACATATCAGTCACAGCATGGCTCCACGTCAGTGTTTTCTTCACCGGTCAGTCTTGTGTCAGATCTTGTGTAGCTGGTCAGTAGTCAGTGTTATATGTGCAGTGACAGTGCCAACCTAATGACTCAGCTATTTTTCAGTCACACAGGCTTCAGTACACAACTGGGGTGTCAGTTTACCATGAGCCACCACTCCTGTTACTGCCCTTCATTTCTCCATTGTCTGCTTACTTCATGGGCAAGAAAAGAAAATGAGATAATTTACTGATGCTAATAAAATGGCTTTTTATAGGGGTGGTGTATATTTTTACACACATATGAAAAAAAGTTTTCCATCAGCTTTTTCTTAATTTTCCATCCAACGTCACCATGTCAACATAAATCTTAGAGCTGAAACGAGGTTGGAGAAATAAAGTGAACAGTTTATTTTATGCGTTTTCTTTTTGCATTTCTCTTTTTGCATTCATCAAAACAATCACATTATTTGTGTATGTCTGTTTGTGTGTGTTGCATCACTTTACATAAAAAAAACACATAAACAAGAGTAAAAAACTACCCAAAAAAAGTGTTATATCTATTAGCAGAAACTGAGTTTTCTTCTCTGTCTCTCATCTAACTAAACATATCAAATTCAGAGTTAGAGATGATGATGATGATGATGATATGAGTCATAAAATATCCTAAGTGTAAATGCTGAACAGGCCGAGTTAACTTTGTTGAAGTTACTTTTATGTCTTAAGGAAGGAGACAAAAGATTTTGCATCGATTGGTTAGACAGAGGGATCGAGCTGGAAAGGATTAGCAGCAGCTTTGCGTGATTAAAGATAGAAAGAGAGAAAAGTGTGTGTCAGGAAGGTGGAAGGAGGACTTTGAGGAGTTGAGGAGAGCATGGAGAGGTGAAGGTATCCTCTGGAGAGAAGAGGAATAAAAGTCAGTCGAAGCAAAACCGAATACATGTGTGCGAATGAGCAGGAGACAGTGGTGAAGACAAAAGTGCAGACAAGATGGAGGTGGGTGGAGAGGAGTGTCAGGGTTGACTTGTGACTGATAGATAGCAGCAAGCAAAGGATTACAAGATGACAGTGAGACCCGAGATGTTAAGATTAGAAAGGAGTATCTCAGCGGGACAGCTCAGGTTGGGTGGTTTGGAGACACAGTTAGAAAGACAAGGCTGACATGTGCAGAGGATGTTAATGATGAAGCTGCCAAACAAAAGAGGACGACCACAGAAGGAGAACATACAGAGGTTTGGTGTGACATAACAGGATACTAGAGTGATGCAGATGATCAGCTGTGGTGACCCCTAAAGGGAGAAGCTGAAAGAAGAAGAAAACGATTATGCAGTTAAATAAAATAGAGTTGCTTTAGTAATCTCAATATGACACAACATTTATTCTTTATCTTTACTTTTGACTTTTAAATCAGTTTTTCCGAACTCTTCTGTCGGACTGCATACGTTAAAGTTCCTCTGTGTGTGTATCGATTATTCTGCCATCTATTAGTAGCGTCTGTCCGCCTCGTAGCTGCTGCAGGATTGTTGTCATTTTCTGTGGCTAGCGTTTAGCGCTGGCTAGCCGTTGGATTTTTCTCTCCAACATACTCTGATCCAGCAGGTGGGTTGTGTCATTAAACCTGTATGAAGCGAGGCTCTTTAAATTAGTCAACGGAAGCTTTTAGTTGTAAAATTAGCAGCTAGCAGTCAATATTGAGTGTTGCCGGGCGCAGCTAAAAGTTGAAAACAAATGTCAGCTAACAGCTAGCTGCATTCTTAATAAGTTAGCTCGCTTAAAGCTAGCTACATAGTCTTCTGCTGTAGCTGAAAACGAAACTCTTTTCCAATTTAGACTGGCAAACAAATACAAACGTTTACTACTTATAACGTATTTCTACAGATGTCCGGTTTGTGAGGAGGAAGGCTAGACTGGTTTGATTTCACTGTAAACATAGTACCCGACATAAAATGTCCATGTTAGGTCATCGTTTCACGACGGTCCCTCACGGAAGAGCTGGGGACGTTTACTCCAAAGTTGGAGAGGGTGTCGATCACATTTTTAAAAACTCAGTTCACGTAAAATTTTCCGTTTTGCACTTTTGTGATGTAAGGAAATGCCACGCTAACATGGCCCTGTTCCAGCTGCTGTGAAGAGGACTCGACATGTCAGCTCCCCCTTCCTTTCAAAATTCTGCAAATAAAGCAGGTTTTAGGGAAGAGGGCAGGTCGTAGGTTCACTGACATCATGATGATGTCTTTAATGGGCCGCTGTCTTTGCGCTGCAACAGCTGTCAACAGCTGTCTGGCTTCAGATAATCTCATTAATGGTGGAGCCACAAAAATATGCAGCACCCTGACTGGTTATTTTATTTTAAAAGTGTAGCTGAAATTTTCATTATAATTGAGCTGAAATGAACAGAAAACGCTAATGCTAGAAGCGGGATCTGTATTTGTTCTTTATAGCTCGTGCAATAAATAATAAAAATAGAATTTCAGTCATATCTCAACTGACTGGAGTCAGAATAGGAGTTAATCTCATGGAGCCTGAGTCATGTCTTTATTTTACATTGTGTGTTTTATAAAGCAGTGAATGAGGTTTTTTATCCTTGGTTGAATCTCAACCAAAATGCAGCAAATAGAATATAAAATGCAATATACTCACATGGATAACATAAAAAGGATTATAAATGTGCAGTCATAAAAATATTTGTTTGGACAGCTTTAATTTGGAGTTGAAAGAAGCTCACAGAAACTGTCCAGTTTCCTTCCTGGCTTAAAATGGGCTTTTGGAGTTAGACCACATAGATAAGCGTGATTGGTCAAGATAAAGTTGCAATTCTGTACATTTTCCTGCCATTTCTGACCATTTAATGATCAAAAATATATTTTAAGTTTACTTTACGGACGTGTAGACTGTTGAGGGTGTACCCCATCTCTTACCTCTTGGGATATGCTCCACAAACCTCAATTAAAGTGCTTAAAAATGTATTTTTTTAATCATTGTCCTTGTGGTTTTTCTCTGGCCAAAACCTCTTTGCTATTAGTCAGAGAATGGCTTATATTCAGATGAAACCCTGAGATATAATATTGCTGCTAATTTTTCTAACAACAACAGGGACTAATTAATCATCATCACCTAATATGTAGCAGTCCGGGAATCCATCAGCTAATTTTTCCCTCTGGAAATGGTCAATATTTCCGGGCCAGAGATATCTGAGACAAGACTTCCTGTTTTGATGATTTCAAGATGCACATCGACAAATGAGTTCCCTATTTTGGTATCCTAGCAGATTTTTTATTTTTTTTTAACCTGAATGCAGACACGGACTACTCAAACACAAAACCAAAAAGCTTCATAAAAAGTTGGCTCTTTTATACTTTGTGCCTGAAACCTTTGCACAGCACTATACTATACCCGTGTGTGCGTGTTACTCAGGATGTTAGGATGGAGTGTGGCCCAGTTCTGCCGGACAGCCTGGTGTTGGAGATCTTTCTGCGTCTGCCCCATGATGCTGTGCTGAGAGCTGGTCTGACCTGCCGACAGTGGCTGGCTGTCTCCAGAGATGAGTTCCTGTGGAGGGAGCTGTTCTACAGCTACTACCGCATTCCCCGCTTGGTACCCCGGCACCCTGGTAAATATCTTTATTATTTATTTGTTTCTGAGAGGAATTTAGTTACTGCTGAAATGTTCTCTCATTAATTCCAAAACCTGCCTGTGTGCAGCGGCTGTATCGTGGTACAGGGAGTTCAAGCGTCTGTTTGACTGCATCCCCTGTGTGGAGGTTCAAACTCTGAGAGAGCACACCGACCAAGTCCTTCACCTGGCTTTCTCTCATCGGGGTCACCGCTTCTCCTCCTGCTCAAAAGACTGCACTGTTAAGGTAAGATATGCTGCTGAGGTTTCTTATTGTCTATGGAGGACAAGGGGACACTTTTACTCAATTTTAGGTATTTTACTCATCTGGGGGGGTTGTTGCAGAAGATCAGTGGCAACTTGCACAAACAGTGCAAACAGAGTAAGGGAAAAATGTCTGACTACCTGTGCAGCAATGTCTTGCTGTCCAAATACATAGTGAGTATTACTCCAGGCCATAAAGTGCAAAGTATGCAGCAGTGCTCGCGAAAATTAGTGGACAACCAATGGCACAACTGAAGTACTCAATACCATCACGCGAAGAAAAAAATACAGTGTTGAGAGGACGAATAGAAGTGTAGTGGAGAGTTAGTCATGATTCCTGCTCAATCATCCAGCGCTTCCCACTGAAAATGCTTCATCCAGATGAACAGAGTCAACTTTCTGGGACAAAATATTTCTATTTTTTGGTTAAATACTGTTCGTAGAGTTGTGATTAATTAGAAAAAAAAAATTATGTTGGTTTTTATTTATTTGTCTAACAGTGATCAGTCTCATCTGTGACTGCAGTGGTTCAAGGAAAATGATGAGTAGTGTCAAAAAGTTTCGTGCTCTAAGAAGTTTTTATAGAAATGGTGATGCTGAAAGTTTGCATAGGCCATTTTTTATTTCTCACAGAATATTACCAAGAATAGACGAGGGACTTGCTAAATATTCAGCCCTGTGAGCAAAACCGATAGTGGCGTTGGTTTCTCTAAAGTCTTATCAATATCCATCCTGCACATTCTCTCACATCTTCTCTCTTCCTGTGTGCAGCTATGGGACACTGAGCGGCCAGATGGTAATATCTCCTTGGTGCACAGCTCCAGCATGCGGCAGTTTAACTGGGGCTACACCCAGTTCTCCCAGTTCAACGCTGATGACAGCCTGCTGCTCGTCTCGGGTGTCTACCTGGGACCACACCACTCGTCATCAGGAGAAATCGCTGTCATCAGTCTAGGTAGGAACCATGAAATACTCCAAATTGCTTTTGAAACCTCGTGAACATCATTAAATAGCTTGATTTGATTTACATAGTTCAGGCTCAAAGAAGGAAAAAATACTTCTTTTAAATTTTGCGATTAATGATTACATTTCTGAATGAACTTCCATGTTAAATGCCATTTTTGGTCACATTTTATGGTGTAAGAGCTTTCACCCAACTTCATTATCCAACTCGCCAACTATGAGGTTATGCTCAGGGTTACTCATCGAACTAGGGCTGCTCAATTAATCGAATTTTAATCACGATTACGATCTGGGCTTTCAACGATCATTAAAAATGATTGAGCCGATTATTAGCCCCTCCCTCGTGCTTTACTCTCGCGCTGCTCCGTGTGGCAAATCCAGCGCACCTCTCTGCGTTTCGAACACGCATCACAACAATTAAGAAGACCCGAGGGAAGCTCGGAAAGCTAAGCAGAAGTTATTTGGAGTGACTGCCGTTGGTTGAAAAGAGAGGTAAAAAAAACAAACTTCAGTGGTGTGGAAACATTATGGGTTCGTGGAGTCAGACGTGGATCAAGTAGACATAGTGTGTAAACTTTGCTATGGTGTCATAGCTGCACCACAGAGCAACACTGCAAAGTTCACTAAACTTAGATGTTTACATTTTTCATTTATTTTTTATATTGCAAACATTTGCACTGTTATCAGTATTTGCACACTATTTTATATTATTTTTTAAAGTCATTATTCAATACATTGTTATTGTTAACCCTTTAAATCCCTGTAGAACCGGAACTGTGTAAGCTAGCGCAATAATTTGTTTTCCATATGAAACCAGAGGAGTTGTACTTACATCCTATGTCATCAGCTTGTCCTCGGCCACGGTTTCCTTCCACATAAAGCTTTGCAAAAACTGCATAAAAAGCACTTGCAGGAACAAAAACATAATATTCCAGAAACACGCTTTGCCGATCCGATCAGCTGTTCGTAACACTTCCCACAGTGAAAAAGACGTCAACACGAACTATCGCATGTCCGCCATTTCCTGACAGACACCGGAAGTGATGTCATTTTCGCGGAAAATGTAGTTTTTTACTTCTAGGCCTTAAAAGCCTATACTGGTGTTTTTATAAGTCATGTTTGACTTTTCTGAATAGTTTCTGGGATGCTTAGAACTCGAATTGCACTGCTGAAAATAGTTTATTTTGATGCACCTGCTGTTTTCTTTGCAAATTTGCATCATAGGATTGTTTTTTGTTTTTCCTGCAGTATATAAAAATTGCTGTATCTCCAAAATAAAACTATGAAGACACTCAAAATAAATTTCCTGTTGTTGTAAACTATTTTTTGCAACTTTTTTGTATTTAAAGTTTTGAGGAATAAGCCTCTTAAATTTCCCCAAGTAGAAATATATGTAAAAAAAACGATTTTCAATTTTTTTGTGGTTTATTGCACTTTTTTGCAATTAATGTAATTACTAATGTAATTAATTACTGACTTAATGCATACATATTATTAAAATATGGGCTATAACAGTTGTATTGATGTATAGCAACTTGAAA